AGCTGGTTCGACTTTGGGTTTTTACCACTTACAACTAAAAAATTATTCATCAAATAATAATCAAATTAATTAACTAATCAAATTAATTAAACAGGGCCAGGCCCTGTGCCAGTGCGACCAGAGAGGACATTAAATGGTATCCTATAGTAAGTGTCATGGTATCCATAATTTTAGATGATGGGGAATTTATTTGCAGCTTGGATCCCAATTAGGAAGGGACTCTTTCTGCCAGAGGTATTGACACTACCCTCCCTATTACAAGAGGATAGCATAGAGATTGAAGCAGAGGAAATGAGGACAAGAGAGAGCTCTGGGGTTGGTGAGGGAGCAACATGGTCAAGCCTTAGATAGAAGCAGCTCTGGTATCACGGGCAAGGCAGGTAACTAGCATTTTGCTAAGGCCTGTTTGGTTAGGAATCTTCGACAACAAGGGGCAGAGAATCTTTCAAGTCACCTCAAATAGGGCCAGGGATATGAGAATCAGTTAATATGGAATATGGCTGTGCCTGCTTAGCAGGGCCTGAGGATGTGAAGTTTTTCTTAGGATGGATGAGGGGAGAGGGTGTAAGTGATGAGCCTTGGGTTGAAACTTAATTTCTATCAAAAGCAATCAATATATTTGCAAACAAAGCATCTGACAAGGGGTTAATATCCAGAATATATAGGAAACTCACACAACACTAGAGCCAGAAAACACAAATAATCTGATTTAAAAATGGGCAAAAGATCTGAATAGACATTCCTCAAGAAAGACATACAAATGGCTAACAGGTATATGAAAAAAAGCTCAACATCACTAATCATCAGGGAAATGAAAATCAAAACCACAATGAGATATCATCTCACCCCAGTTAGGATGGCTATTATCAAAAAGATAAAAAATATCAAATGCTGGTGTGGATGTGGTGAAAAGAGAACTTTAATATACTGTCGGTGGGAATGCAAAGTAGTCCAGTCATGATGGACAGCAGTGTGGAGGTTCCTCAAAAAACTAAAAATAGAATTACCATATGATCCAGCAACCCCACTACTGGCCATTTAGCCAAAGGAAACGAAATGAGTATGTTAAAAGCGATAAAAGCATTTCCACGTTTATCACAGCACTATTCACAATAGCCAAGATATGGAATCAATCTGAGTGTTCATTAACGGATGAATGAATAAAGAAAATGTGATATATTTACACGATGAAATCCCATTCAGCTCTTTAAAAAATGAAATCCTATCATTTTTGACAGCATTGATAAACCTAGAGGATATTATGTTAAATGAAATAAGCCAAACACAGAAGAAAAAATCCCACATAATGTCACTCATATGTGAAATCTAAAAAAGTTGATCTCATAGAAGTAGAAAATAGAATAGTGGTTACCAGAGGCTAGGGGGGAGAGTGGGGTCACCAGGGATGGGGAGTGGTTGGTGAATGGTTACAAAGTTACAGAAAGGAGGAATAAGTTCTGGTGTTCTATTACACAGTAGAGTGACAATAGCCAACAATAATGCATTGTATACTTCAAAATAGTTGGAAGGGAGGATTTGGGGTGGTTGTTCGTTTTTTGTATAAATTTGTGGGGTACGAGTGTAATTTTGTTAATGGATATATTGTGTAGAAAAGATAATTTTTGAATGTTATTACCACAAAGAAATGACAAGTGTTTAACATGATAGATATGTTAATCATCCTGATTTGATCATTACATAATGTATATATGTATTGAAACATTACACTGTACCCCAGTATATGAATATAATATGTAAAATTATTATATGTCAATTAAAAACAAAATAAAACATAAAATAAAGACTAGTGTTAAAGGGAAATTGAGGCCAGCTACAGTGGCTCATGCTTGTAATCCAAGCACTTTGGCAGGCCGAGGTGGGTGGATCACCTGAGGTCAGGAGTTTGAGACCAGCCTGGCCAATGTGGTGAAACCCCATCTTTACTAAAAATACAAAAAGTTAGCTGGGCGTGGTGGCAGGCACCTGTCATCCCAGCTACTTGGGAGGCTGAGGCAGAAGAATCGCTTGAACCCAGGAGGCGGAAGTTGCAGTGAGCTGAGATCGTGCCACTGCACTCCAGCCTAGGCAACAAGAGCAAAACTCCATCTCAAAATAAATAAATAAAGTGAAGTCGATGTTGTCCCCACAGAAGTGTAATTGTATGGCTAGTGAGATCTGCAATAAGGAGTTGGCTTTGCCAGCCACCCAGGAGCCAACAGCCATGGGCAGTAGGCAGCCTTGCTTTTGACCCTGGGGTATATAAGGGGGTTGCAGATGGCCATGTAGCGATACAGAATGATTTGCTAATAAAAGACTCTGGGTACTACTTATGCCTTGGTAAGAAGGAAAAGGAAGTTGGTATCAGAGTTCTTTGACCATCTTTGGCATCCTTATAGATGTCATTGCACACGTCACTGCAGGGGGACATGCGCAGAGTTCTCATTACGATGTGTGGGTGTGGCCATCTCCACTGATGCTTTTGTCATTTCCCTGAAGACTGAGGAAAAGAAGCTCTGAAGCTCCCTGGTTTGGAGTCCCCATGCCCACAGACTACCCCAGACCTTAAGCTAGAGACTGGCATATTTTGGATTTTCTCTTAGGAAAAAGTTTCACCCATCTGAGCCCTCACTTAAGCCCTCCGTAGAAGTCTACCAGTCACACACGCCACAAGTCTCTGAGCACAAGAGTAGGAGCAAGAGAGATTGAAAGACACTAGGGGAAAGACAGTTGTGTGTCTTTTTAAGCACTTGTATGCTAATGACTTCTCCAGGTGCTGCAGACAAATATGATCTGGAACTATCGCGTACCCCTCATGGCTGTTCCAGGCCTGGGCACTCTTACTTTTAGAGGTCGTAGCCCACATCATGTCAAAATGAACATGTATTCCACTTTATGTATAATTTTGTGGTAAATTTGAGATGATTTTTCTACTTCTAAAAATTATTTGTCTTATAAGTGGCTCATTTAATTTACAATTCTATGATTTCTCAACAATAACTATGAAAATGCAGGAATTCTTGCAAAGTAGAAGTGTCTAATCCACAGATTGTTTTAAAATAATGATGCATGAATAAAAGAGTTTACTTATTATTGAAGATTACATAATGTTCCCTTCTGTAGAGAGAACATTATGTTCTCTCTTATGTAAATAATTAATTACGATTTTTTTTTTTAGGTTTTGTTTTGTTTTGTTGTAGTCAGGGACTAACATGTTTTCCAGAGCTCAAACATCTTTGTCCTTGATTAAAATGTCAAAGACCTGGCTACTGAGCCCTCCTGCCCTGTAGCTAAAACAGCCCTGCTTACTCTCTGCACCCTCTGTTCAGGAGTAAAAATACTTACATAGTAAACACAAATCAAGTTTATGTATATAAATGAAAATTAGAGGAATTTAATTTATGAAAAACATTTTAGGGAACAACTGGTATTTTTAAACAAAAAGAATTCAAGAAGTTACTGTCCTTGGAAGTACAGAAAACACCTGAGAAGGGCGTGTATATACATACTGTTCACACACCTGTGCTGAGATTGACTGTTGTTATCTGTCACTGGTTGGGTTCCCTGGAAGCTGGTGCTGATGGGAAGATTTTCATGCAGAACATTTACTGAGAAGTGCTTTTAAGATCAAAACCTCTGTGCTTAGAAAACGGAATATCCATATACAGAAGGAAACTAGACCCCTATCTCTCACCCTCTGCAAAAATCAAATCAAAATGAAAGACTTAAATCAAAGACCTCAAGCTATGAAACTACTCAACGAAAACATTGCAAAAACTCTCTAGGACATTGTACTGGGTAACGATTTCTTGAGTAATACCCCACAAGCACAGGATCAAAGCAAAAATGGACAAATGGATCACATCTAGTTAAAAAGCTTCTGCTCAGCAAAAGAAACAATCAACAAAGTGAGGATACAACCCAAAGAATGGAAGAAAATATTTGCAAACTACCTGTCTGACAAGGGACTGATTACCAGAATATATGAGGAGCTTAAACAACTCTATAGGAAAGAAGCTTTATAATCTGACTGAAAAAATGGGCAAAAGATCTGACTAGACATTTCTCAAAAGAATACATACAAATGGTAAACAGGTGTATGAAAAGGTGTTCAACATCACTGATCATCAGAGAAATGCAAATAAAAACTACAATAAGATACAACCTCACTCCAGTTAAAATGGCTTTTATTCAAAAGGCAGTCAATAACAAATTCTGGTGGAGATGTGGAGAAAAGGGAACCCTGGTACACTGTTGGTGGAAATGTAAGTTAGTACAACTATTATGGAGAAGTTTGGAGGTTCCTCAAAACAACTAAAAATAAAGCTACCATATGATCCAGCAATCCCAGTGCTAGGTATATACCCAAAAGAAAGGAAATCAGCATATTCGAGATATGTACACTCCCATGATTACTACAGCATTATTCACAGTAGCCAAGATTTTGACACAACCTAAATGTCCATCAGCAGACAAATGGATAAAGAAAATGTAGCACATATATACAATAGAGTACTATTCATCATCAAAAAAATGAGATCCTGCCATTTACAACAACATAGATGGAACCGGAGGTCATTATGAAGGTGAAATAAGCCAGGGACAGAAAGACAAACTTTGCATGTTCTCACTGATTTGTGGGAGCAAAAAATCAAAACGATTGAACTCATGGAGATAGAGAGTAGAACACTGGTTACCAGAGGCTGGGAAGGTTGGTGGGGAGGAGAAGTGAGGATGGCTAATGGGTACACAAATATAGTAATAAGATCTAGTATGTGATACTAGGTCTAGTATGTGATAGCACAACAAGGTGACTACAGTCAACAATAATTTATTATACATTTAAAAATAACTAGAAGAGTATAATTGGATTGTTTGTAACACAAAGAAAAGATAAATGCTTGAGGTGATGGGTGCGCCATTTACCCTGATGTGATTATTACGCATTGTATACCTGTATCAAAATATCACATGTACCCCATAAATATCTACACCTACCATGTACTCATAAAAATTAAAATAAATAAAAATTTTAAAAGATCGACACCTGTACAGGATGTGAGCAGATAGAAGAAGCAGGGATAGGCAGAGGGAGAGCTGGAACTACCATGGGAAAGCTCTCCAGCTGGGATGACCCTTTAGAGATAACCCCATTGAGGCAAGGAGGACTGGGTCTTTATACTGACATTGATATCATTGTGTATGAGTTGACCTTGAGAAGGGCATGTGACTTTGGGTGAGGTAGTACTCTTTAGTCAAAGGCAACCCTGCAGAGAGACTCCATTGAATGCTGTTGACCATCAGTACTCACAGGGCTCATGAGTGCTTCAGTGCTAGGTGGAGTGAACAGGAATCCGGGCAGCACACCACAGCATCCACTACAGACCCTTAACCGATACTTCTCAAAGTTTAACATCCGTACAAATCACCTGGGGGAACTTGTTAAAATGCAAATTTCAATTCAGGAGTTCTGCAATGGGTCCCAAGACTCTGTACATCTCATAAGCTTCCAGGTGATGCTGATACTGCTGATCCATGGACCACATTGTGAGTAGCATGGCTCTAAACTGAGCTTGCCCCTCACCTAGCTTTGCTTGGAATTGAGATTCTCAAGTGAGAGCCATCAGAGTGCATGGATCATGGGATATAACTCATCACTGAGTCAAGCATTTCTGAGCCACCAGGCTTCTCACAGCAGTCTTAACATCCTTGTTGCTCAGACTATAAATGATGGGGTTCAGCATGGGAGTCAAAAGTCCATAGAAGAGGGAGATGAGTTTGTCTGAAAGGTCTGTTTGTCTGCCCCTAGGGAATCCTTGGATTTGGGCTTCCCATACATTGAGAGGATGGTTCCATAGAAGATAATCACCACAGTAACGTGGGCAGAGCAGGTGGAGAAAGCCTTTTTCCTCCCCTCAGCTGAGGGAATCTTTAAAATAGTGGTGAGTATGAAGATGTAGGAGACAAAGATGAACAGGACTGGGACCCCCAGGAAGATCACGTTGGCCACCCCCATGCTGATCACATTGATGGAGATGTCAGCACAAGCCAACTTTAAAACTGCCAGGATCTCACAGATGAAATGGTTGATGACATTGTCCCCACAGAAGGGTAACTGTACTGCAAGAGAGATCTGCACCAAGGAGTTGGCTCCACCAGCCACCCAGGAGCTGGCAGCCATGGGCACATAGGCAGCCTTGCTCATGACTACTGGGTACCTAAGGGGGTTGCAGATGGCCATGTAGTGATCAAATGCCATCATGCCCAGGAGAACACACTCTGTGGGTCCTATGGCAAAGGAGAGGAACATCTGCACTGCACAGCCTGAGAAGGAGATGGTTTTCCTGGGAGTGAGGAAACCGTCCAGGACCAGAGGGACTGAAGAAGTTGTGTAGCAGATGTCCAGGAAGGAGAGGTTCCCAATGAAGAAGTACATGGGCGTGTGCAGGCAGGAGTCGGACACAGTCACCAGAATGAGGACCCCGTTGCCCAGCAGGATCACCAGGTACGTCAGCAGGATAAGCACAGAGAACGTTTTCTCTAGTTTTGGATGGGCAGAGAGGCCGAGCAAGACAAATTCTGTCACAGAAGACTGGTTAGATACTTCCATTTCAAACTCTCTCTTTCATCCCTAGGAATAATGAAGGCAGAAAATACATGTTTATTTTTTGACGGCTCGCTTGAGTCAATTCATGGGAATTACAGTATGATGTCTCTAAAATTATAAACAAACTTATCCTGTTAGACTCAACTGTAAAAAACCAAGTTATCTAAAAGCCAGGCTGTGTAGCAGGCCTTGGAAGAATAGACCTTGGAAATCTAATAAAACTTTGAATGAAAAAAATGAAGGACATTTCTGCCTAAACAATGATATTAATATACCAAAAGCAATATCACACGACTGCATGTGCTGTCTGTAGCACTTTGTAGGAAATCAGGGGCTTCTGAGCAACTCTGCCTCTGCCATATAATTGGAGACCTCAGGCTGTCATGGCTTGGTGACCCTGGCCCTTGAGGTCACATGACCCATTCCTCTGTGTCTGGCTCCCCCTCACCCAGCAAGTTTCTATTATAATTTAACTTCTCATACAGACAGTCTTACAGGGAGAAAATGTGCTGGCTTCAAAACATAAAACTTCTTATTTCCTTAACAGTTTTATTTGTTACTCAGTATCTTTTTGCAGTTCCATCTTTTGTGAGTTTAGTTAGCATAAATCAATTCATCTGATCTTGACCAGATCTACAAAATCTGACAAAACAGAGTTTCTGGAACCTATAACATGGAGTCCCCTCCGAAGGCTTCAGAATTCTGGTTTGGGGAGAAGGAATCATGTGTTTCCTCCAGTAACCATGTCTGACCTGCCTGCCTCTTTGCTGTTCCAGGACTAGACTGGTGGCATATTGCCTTGCCTGATTGTGGGAAACCACTCATAATTCACACCCCCAGCCTGGGTTGGGTGAAGCCTTGAATCACACCCACATCAAGTTCAATGAGAAACGCCATCCCATTAATGCCATTTGGAAGATCTGCAGATATGCTCACACACAAACCTACTCCAGCTTCTAGAATACAAAAATCTGCACTGTGGATTATCACCACAATTTCATCTCCAAAGAGATCTGGAACACCAGATGTCATCAGGTCCTGACACAGGGTGCCCAAAATGACAAAAAGCCAACTGCCTCATAGCTACCCAAGTGCTGGTTAAAAATACAGATTTCTGGATCCTACCTTGGCAGATTGTCTTAGCAATCTGTTTTTGTTCATTGCTTTGCTTTTCAAATAAAAGCTCCCCCATGTACTTCTGATGTATACCGGTCTTGGGAATCACTAATCTGTTTCAACCCTTCTCAGTTCAAAAGTGGAGAAGCTGAGGTCAGGGAAGATGTTTGTGAGCAGCACACGCCTCTGAAGAAGGGGAGTGGGGGTGCTTTGTTCTAAATGGTAATGATACAATGTCCAAAAAAGATTATCTCAGGATATTAGGAATTAAGGGACGGGGAACTATTTTTAGAGAAAAACTCCATTCGGTATCAGGAAGTGCAGAATCTGAGGCTTGACAGAATCTTCAGATATTAAACCAATCCAGTCCCCACCCCTGAGCCACCTGCCATAGGATCCTCTCTTCAATACGTGATTTCTCAGCCTCTGCTTAAACATTTAGGACAACAAGGGGCTCAAGGTAATGTCATTGTCAGAAAGCCCAGGTTGTTAGAGCTCTTCAGGGACCTGAAATCTGCCTTTTTCTAACTTTTCCCTTCCTCCACTAATCCTAAGCCTACCTTATGGGCTCTTCTTGTTAGACTTGCCTGCTTCCTTGACACACTTGCAGCCTTCAGAGCTTTGGAATTAGTTGCTTCATCCCCAAACCCAATTCTACCCCTAGCCCTCCCCTTGCACAGACCTCTTTGTACATGCCTCTTTCCCCCAGCTGGTGAAGAACTGGCCATAGAGGTCCCCTAGCACTTACCCAGTTTAGGGTCCAGTCTGGGATCCTATTGGGCTGCATCTATTGTTTGCAGGAAGGCAGGCCGGTGGAGTGGGGAGGTTGCCAGTTTACCGAGGTCAGGACATGTCACTGGCTCTGGTTTCACCTGTCCTTCTGAGTGCTACCCTGCCAAAAACCAAGCAGGCCAAGAGGCCATGTCTCTCAGAGCTGCCCTGGCAGCACAGGTGCACACTCTCGACTTGGGCATGTACTCTTTAACTGCTGTCTCCTGTCCTGGTGTCTCGAAATGGCCCTGGGTGTAGAGGGCTCTAAGGTGCAACTGCAGCCCCAGAAGTCTTTGCCTGACCTTGGGACTCAGTGAGACAAGGAGACACAGGCTGGCTCTCAAACTGGAGGCTCAGCCAGGAGCCCCAGCCTGGAGGGGCTGCACCCCAGGGCGGGCTGGGAAGCCATGCCCAGGCACCAGGCCCAGCTCCCTCTCTTCTCTGTACACCACACTCTCTCCAGAGAGTCCCATAGAGACTGTCTTGAGAATTTAGGACCAGTTGCTTTGGGGCCAGGTCCTATCCCAGAAGCAATTTAAAGTTTGGCAAGAGGCTCAGAGTTTAGACTTCACCCTATAGACCCAATTAGGCAACACTGTGGAAATCTACCCGAAATTCTCCTCTATCAGGAAACCTCAGCTCAAAACATTTGCTGGTGGAAGGTACTCAGCATTCTCCTGGGCTTTGATCACAGCAGTTAGTTCAAGGTAACTGTCACTGACCCTCAAAGAGCCTAGAAGGCAAGAAGAGCTGTGCCTCAGTGATCCAGATATTCCCAGAAACTTCAGGTCACATAGATTCCCCAGCCACTCAGGTATCTCCTCCCCTTCACCCAGTAACACAGCTCTCTCTCCTCTCTCTCTGTCTCACTGCTACTGGCTTGCCCCTCACTCTGAATCTCTCTATGCTACAAACATGTCACATGTGCCAGGCACCAAAGAGTGGTTGGATGGGGAGGACACAATGACCAGAAATGGGTGCTTGTCTTCAGAGAATACCAGGAAGAATGGAACTGTCTGTAGTCTAAGGCGGGACTAAGAATGCCACAAAGCCACCCTGGAGGCTGGGTACTGGAGGAGTGTACAGAACTAGCCCAGGATGAAAATAACAGGAATGAAGAAGAGAGTGGCACTGGGAGACATTTAGAAGGAAGGAATTGGCCAGGCGCAATGGCTCATGCTGGTAATAATCCCAGCACTTTGGGAGGCCGAGGCAGGCAGATCACAAGGTCAGGAGTTCAAGACCAGCCTGGCCAATATGGTGAAACCCCGTCTCTACTAAAAATACAAAAATTAGCTGGGCATGGTGGCACGCGCCTGTAATCCCAGCTATTTGGGAGGCTGAGGCAGAAGAATTGCTTGAACCCAGGAGGCAGAGGTTGCAGTGAGCCAAGATCACGCCACTACCCTCCAGCCTGGGCAAAAGAGTGAGACTCTGTCAAGTCGAGAGAGAGAGAGAGAGACAGAGAGAGAGAGAGAGAGAGAGAGAGAGAGAGAGAGAGAGGGAAAGGAAGGAAGGAAGGAAGGAAGGAAGGGAGAGAGACAGGAAAGAAAGAAAAAGAAAGGAAGGAAAGGAAAGGAAAGGAAAAAGAAGAAAGGAAGGAAGGAAAAGAAAGAAAGAAGAAAGAAAAGAAAAAGGAAGAAATTGTAGGATTTAGAGAGAGATCTCAGGTGGGAGACACAGGAGGGAGAAGAATCAACAATGGCCAAGATACCTGATGGATTCAGGGCATGCTACCTGAAAATATAGCACCTTGGTGTTTGTTGTTGTTGTTGTTGTTTGTTTTTGTTTTTGTTTTTGAGACGGAGTCTTACTCTGTCGTCCAGGCTGGAGGGCAGTGGCACAATCTCCGCTCACTACAAGCTCCGCCTCTGGGGTTCACGCCATTCTCCTGCCTCAGCCTCCCAAATAGCTGGGACTATAGGCGCTCACCACCCTGCCCGGCTCATTTTTTGTATTTTTAGTAGAGATAGGGTTTCACCATGTTAGCCAGGATGGTCTTGATCTCCTGACCTTGTGATCCGCCCGCCTTGCCCTCCCAAAGTGCTAGGATTACAGGCATGAGCCACTGCGCTCGGCCGGCATATTGAACATTTTAAGCTGAAGGAATTTGGGAAACAGTATGTGCAGGGAGGTCTCTCTGACCTTTCCCTGTTTTCCTCCCCTGAGGCAAGTTATAAAACCTAGGAAGGATTTTCTGACCTTCCCCTGATGCAGGTCATAAGACCCTCATGTGAGAGGCACCCTCCCTCTACCCAGAGCAAAGGAACCATCCCTATCTCCAAAGACAGGGAGGCCAAGAGCAATCTGAACAACAGGCCTGGCTATTTCCCTCCATTTGCTACATTTAGCTCATTCTTCTGCCCTAACATCCTTCACTACTTTCCATTCAAACCCACTAATAAAAAAATTACTCAGATTTAACTTTCTTCAGGTCCACATTTCCTTATGGAGGCTCCTGTGTCATGAAAAACTTATATTGAATACATTTGTTTGCTTTTCTCTTCTTCATCTGTCTTTTCTTACAGGGTCCCCAGCCAATGAACCTAATAAGATGGGTAGAAGGAAAAGACATTTTTCCTCCCTTATACACCAAATCTTAAGCTAGGAGAAAGTCAGTGATGGAGTAAGGAGGGGAGCCTGTCGGGGCCAGGGTCGGGGGACTAGGGGGTTGTTTCTGACATTTCACTGTACAGTTCCTGTACATCTATCATGCCTAGCTCTAGGCTGGTTACTAGGAATAAAGATATGACTAAGAAACAGTTTCTGTTGAGGAGTTTACAGTCAATTGGATTTATTGTATTTGAGATAATGGTGAGGGATTAATATTAATAAGAGTTGCCATTAATTAATAACTCTTTTCCGAATCTTGTCTTATCTAAGGCTCCCAACAACTCTGACGTAAGTATGAGGGTGTGATATTGTGATACAATAGAACATATATATATATATATATATATTTGGTCTTCATTCTCAGTTCCCAGCACAGAGCTCCTAAAACCCTTGGAATTTCCTTATTCCTAGGAGTGAGGGGAGCATCTTTCACTACTCATCATAAGCCGCTTTCAATCATACTTGAGTGTATGCAAATGAAGTGACTCTTGGTGGGTGCCTAGATAGCTCAGGATAGGGGTTGGTTACTAGAGGAATCAATCATGTGATTAAAGGGATGGAACATTCAGCCTCACCCCTAATCTTCAGGGAGGGGAGACAGAGGGCTGGAGATTGCATTCAATCACCAATGGTCAGTGATTGAATCAATCGTGCCTACATAATGGAACTACTATAAAAAGCCCAAAACTAAAGGGGTACAGGGAGCTTCCAAGTTGGTGAACACTGGGAGAGTGGCACCCCAGAGAGGCTCTGGAAGCTCCACGCCCCTCCCCTACTCCTTGCCCTTTGCAGCTCCTCCATTTGGCTGTTCCTGAATTGTAATATAATAACAGTATATATAATAATAAACAAGTAAATGAAAGTAAAGTGTTTTCCCAAGTTTTTTTAGCCTTTTCAGTAAATTATTGAACCCAAGGGAGGGGTTGTGGGAACACCTCTAACTTCATAGCTGGTTGGTCAAAAGTATGGGTGGCCTGGACTTGTGATGGGCATCGGAAGTTGGGGAGTCTTGTGGAACTGAGCCCTTAACCTGTGGGGTCTGTGCTAATTCTAGGTAGTTAGCATCAGAATTAAATTATAGGATACCCAACTGGGGTCTGGAGTGTTGGAGAATTAATTGGTGTGGGGAAAACCCCACACATTCCATGTCAGAAGTGTTGTGAGCAAAAACAGATCCTAGAAGTAGAAGGATACTTGGATTGTGAGCAACTGTGTGACCTCCCACACTGGGCTAGAGCACCTAGCATTCATGATGTCTACCATCTTTGACCTCTGCCCTCTATGTGCCAGGCAGCTCCCTTCCATCGCACCCACATTTCCTTAAGAGTTGGGGGATACTGTGGGGTTCATGGAAGAACAGCGGTACAGTCGGGCCTCGGCACAGTTGAACGGGCCCTGGAATGTCAGTCAGGATCCAAGTGGCTCCTGTTGGCCCCTCTGTGGCAAGGCTTTGTGTCCCCATCTCAGGGGCTTTGCCATTTTGGAGACTCAGCCACCTTGGCCTTGCTTCCTTTCCTGTTTACGCTGCGGCCTCAGCCACCACAGATCAGGCTTCTGCTCACTGCCTTCTGTCCTCATGTTACTCTGCCTTCTCTTTCCTTCCCTTCTCTCCTCACACCAACTGCTGACTGTGTCCCCCTGTTATGAGTTCACGCTCACTGAGAGGCAGCTCTGAGGGGTTTGGTAAGTCCACAGGCCACCTCGTGGCACTGGCTAACCTGTGTGTTGACTACCCCTGGGTCAGGCATCCACCTGGCTCAGTCAGGTGGGTCCTCGTGACCAGGGTGCCTCGTGGTACAGAGCATGGAAACAATGTCCAGAACTTCTCAGAAGGAGAATGTGGGGAGATCAGGTAAGTGAGGCTTCCTGAAATGAAGCCACAAACCAGCTTGTCTGGACAGCCCAGCATTCGGACTTCAGGAATTATACTCACTCCTTGCCTGCAGGAGCGGTCTCCCCGCCAGGAGGCAAAGCTTGGCCTCCTCGCCTTGCCAGGAGACAACCGCTCCTTCCCTCCTCTTTCCTCTTCCCTCTTCAGAGAAGTTCTGCTTCTCTGATCTTATAGTACCTGATTCCTGTGCTGGTTTCATCTCAAAATGGGGGTGGTTCTTTTCCTCCTCCACTGAGGACAGTCTGTTTCCCATGATTCCCAACAGAATGTCTAAGTCTTTGAGGAGGGTCAAAGCTCCTAGACCAGGGACCTGGTCAAAGACTGTGTGAATTCTGCGGTCCACATTTGACCTGAGGAAGCCACAATTAACACAGATGTCTCTGCAGGATGTGCTGGGGTTGCTGGGGTGCAGGCTACACCTTTGGTCAGCTCCACTCATCCTTGGCAGACTCACATTTACATACCAACACTCACACACACGGAATACGGAGATTTCTGACACACAAAGCTTTGTCTTGACCAATTAAAACTCAAATATGCCACGGCTGATCTCTCTGAGGCTTCTCTTCACTAGGCAGTGAGGAGAAAGAAGAAGAGACATTTTTAGCAGTACCCCAAATCTCAAAACCCGGAGTCCTCACACAGTGAGTGAGAAATCCGGCCCCGAGCTACTCAAACGTGACCCACAGACAGGCAGCATCAGCATCAGCATCAGCATCAGCATCAGCATCACTTGGAAACTGGTTAGTTATGCAGATTATTGGGCCCCACTCTAGACCTACTGGGATGGGGTCCGGCAATGCAGTGTGTGTGTGTGTGTGTGTATGTATGTGTATGTGTGTGTATATGTGCATGTGAGTGTATATGTGTGTGTGTTGTGTGTGTGTGTGTTCAGTCTGTTTTAATAAGTCCTCCAGAAGATTCTGAGGCATACTAACGTCTGGGAAGCACTGATCTAACCAGACTTTTCTTAAGATTGGAGTTCCAGTTATTCCTTTCAAGGAATCTAAGTGTGTTGTAACCGAGTGAGTTACAGAGAAACGCCACACTCTGAGACAAACTCAGGAGTCCTTTATTAGCTGGTGACTGAGAGATGGCTAGCACTCAAAATTCTCTCGGCCCTGAGGAAGGGGCTAGATTTTCTTTTATGCTTTGGTATAGAAAGGGGAGCGGGGGAGTCTAGTTAAAACAATCTTACAGAAGTAAAGCAGGCAAAAAGTTAAAAGGATAAATGGTTACAGGAAAGCAAACAGTTCCAGGTGCAGAGGCTTTAAATCTGTCACAAGGTGATAGGCGCGGGGCTTTGGGCGTTATCAACCAGACACAAACACAGACACAAACACAGGGGCTCTGGGCGCTACTAACTGGGCGAATTCCTGGGAACTGCGGATATAGCTTGCCACAGTATCTTATCAGTTAATTACATTCTTGGATGTGCTGGGAGTCAGCTTGCACAAGTCCTTGAGGAAGGGGAGTGGGTAGGGAGCTGCGAGTGAAGGAGCCAATATGGAGTCTGTCTGGCTCTCTTAGCTAAAGGAGAGTCAGTTCAGGTTAAAACAAGGTAAGGTACCACATTCCCCACTTGTGTTTTTGGGGAATAAAATCATTGATTCCTCAGTTATAACAAGGGGGTTATATTGGGTTTTAAGATACATAAGCTTGACAGAATTGCTTTATAAAGTTAAGAAACCAATTTAATATACAAGGCCCAAAGACTAAGCCTAACAATAGGAGGGGAAGGGGTCCAGCTAACCCAGTGATTAGAGTAGTTAGCCACAGATTCCAGTTAAACATGCTTTGGTACCAGGGGGTGTTATTTTCCCATTCCTGTTGGCGTCTATCTAGATTTTTTTGAATTTTTTGGAGAGGATTTTTTATGACCCCGGACTGATTGGCGTAGAAGCAACAACTCTCTCCCAGAGTGGCACATAACCTTCCTTGGGAGAGAAACAGCAGATCTAAGCCTTGGCGGTTTTGAAGAGCTACTTCAGCTAGAGACTCTACTTGGGTATGTAGTATATTTATGGCTGATCAGAGATTGCTTAAATCAGCATCTACTTGTTGAGACAGGGACATTAGCCCAGTTTCTCCCTGAACCAGGGCGGCTGTGATCCGGCTATGCTAAGGCTGGTCAGAAGGGGTACGAGGAGTGGGGCGGCTCGGCGAAACCTGGAATGTAATTCAGGGGGAGCGATGAGAAGTTGTCCTTCTGGCCCACTACACACGTTGACCTGGGGGAGCACATGAACCAACACACACAGGAGAGGTTCTGGTTCAGTCCCACTGATGCAGCGTGTGAGACCTGAAGTGCAGGCTAACCAGGTATTGTTAGGTGCCTGGTAGGAGACTGCGGCACTTAAGGAAGTAAGTAGAGACTGATTACAGGTAGCCTGAAAGGGAGAAGCAGATAAGTTATATCTGGTGCTAATTAAACAAGAAGCATTTCCGGACACGTCTCCTAATGTGAGGACATGGGCGCGTGTACAACAAGAAAGAGAGCCAATTTTAAGTGCGGCTTTTACTCCTAATCCAACATAACATGGGGGTTTGGCCTTTAGGCACAACCAACAATCTTGGGCTAGTTTAGGCTGGGTAAGATTGAGGAGGTGATGTACCCCGCCCAGAATGGACAGCAGGCTGGGTTGGAGGTGCTGTCATTGCAGCTGAGGTTTGGGAACCAGGAATGGTAGCAGGACAGTTAAATCGACCCTGTCTGGGTGTTTTTGGAACATAGGGTCACCTAAATCAGTTAAAGGCCCGATTGTCTTAGGAGGGCTCCATGAGACCAGGATTTTCTTCTGGATGGTGAACATAGTTCTGACATCAAATCCTGAGATATAAAGCCTTAATCCCCATGACATGATGTAATACCATTGAGCTAAATTAGGGTTATGGATAGTTATAGTAAGGAGATTACAATTTCTCTTAATACACAGTTTAGGTCAGGAAGCACGAGCTGTGGAAAGGGTAGAACATCGGGTTGATCCCCCAGAGTAGGTGGCCAAGATTACGCATGTCCAGTCAGGGCAGAAAAACTGGTAAGAATCTCCACAACTAGAGTCAGGGTGATTTCCAGGAGGTAAAAGTCAACATTCTGAAGTTCTTGTTCTGCACCTTTGGAGTTTCTACATCCAGTCTGGCTTCCGGAGTGTCCAAATCCCACAGCAAGGTCGACACTCCCCGCTCCCATGACCGGCAGATTGCATTGTTCTTCATGGGCACAGGAAGGCTCTGGGAACAAAGCACATTAATCGACTGCAAAAGAGACTTCCTTGGAGGTTCCTGCCCTCCAAGTAGTGTTTGCAAACACACGTCCTGTCATGAAAGAGGTGAGGGGGAAAGAGTAGGATGGAGCAGAGGGCATAATAGGCAGAAACAAACAACAGAGGTAAATAAAAAGAATTAATCTGATGGCTTCACTCGACGTAGGCTCTGTTTTAAGGGGCCTGGCCCAGGCCTGGGGACCCGTGTTTCTTGCTGGGCTCTGTTGACCTTTTTGATGCGAGAGTGATGAATCCAAGTCGGAATGCTGTCCACTTTCAGGGCCGTTGGTGTGGTAAGGATGACAGTATGAGGTCCTTTTCAGGCAGGAGTGAGTCCTTCTTTCTGGAAATTTTTAACATACACCAGGTCACCTGGCTGGAAAGAGTGGCACGGCCCCATCTGGTCAGGAACTGGGTTGGGATGAGCTCCCCGGATCAGTGGCTGGATGATGTCTTGTACCTGTTGGAGAGACTGCAGGTACTATAATAAATTAGCTTGTGAGATTTCTGCTAAATGGGTATCCCTTAGCTTAGGCAAGATAGGCGGAGCCCTCCCATACATGGTTCAAAAGGTGAAAACCCAGCCCGGTAAGGGGTGCATCTTACTTTCAGAAGGGCTAGAGGAAGGAGCTTAATCCAGTTTTCACCGGTTTCTAGGATTAATTTTGTAAGAGTACTTTTTAGGGTGCGGTTCATGTGTTTTACCTGCCCAGAGCTCTGGGGTGGTTAGGCACAATGGAGTTTCCATTGAACGTTTAGTGCCTTATTGACTGACTGAGCTGTGGATGAGGTGAAGGCCGGTCCATTATCAGACCCTATGGGCAGCAGGCAGCCCATGTTGAGGGATGATTTCATTGAGTAAAAGTTTAACTACCATGGTGGCAGTCTCGTTTTTGGTGGCAAATGCCTCAGTCCATCTGGAAAAGGTGTCTACTAGTACCAGGACGTATTTATACCCTGCCTGGTGTGATTTTTACCTCTGTAAAGTCAATGTCCCACCTTTCTCCTGGCAAGCCTCCCCAGAGGTGGTGACCTGGGCTGGGTTTAGGACCTTGCTTGGCATTTACCTGAGCACAAGCTGTGCACCGGAGAGCTGCTTGGTTAGCTAAGTCTTGAAGGTGGGGGATCTTGAAACAGCTCCTTAGAAGCTGGGACAGTTTTACTCCTCCTAAATGGGTGGTAGAATGCAGACGACTGACTGAAGTTTCCCCGAGGGCCCGGGGCATGAAGATTCTGGAATCAGGAAGAATTCACCAGCCTTCCTGATTTTTATTAACCTGAAGATCTGAAGCTTGTTTTTCTTCCTCTGGGGAGTATTCTGGGTGGTCTGGTAAGTCAGGTTGCGGAAAGGACACTGCAGGCAGCAGGGTCAGAGGCGCGACTGGAAGCCGAGCTGCCTCCCCGAGCTGCAGAGTCTGCTCTTTGGTTAGCACGAGAAACGGCCATGTCTTCTTTTTGATGTCCTTTGCAGTAAATTACAGCTACCTGTTGAGGAAGCCAAACAGCTTCAAGCAGGGCCAGAATTTCTCCTTTGTTTTTAATACTCTTTCCTGCTGAGGTGAGTAGTCCTCGCTCTTGGTAGATGGCTCCGTGTACATGTACAGTAGCAAAAGCATATCTGCTGTCAGTGTAGATGTTAATACGTTTGTCCTTACCCCATCGGAGAGCCTGAGTGACAGCAACCAATTCAGCCTTTTGTGCTGAGGTATCTGCCGGCAATGCCTGAGTCCACAGTATTTCTGTCTCTGTTGTAACAGCTGCACCAGCCTTTCGTATTCCTTGTTCAAGGAAGCTGCTACCATCTGGAAACACGGTGGCGTCCATTTCCTTTAAAGGCACATCTTGGAGATCAGGTTGGTCAGTTTCCGTAGTCTCTAGCAGTGCCTGGCAGTCAATGGACAGGTGTAGTGAAGTCTGGATCAGGGAGTAAAGTAGCTGGATTTAAACACCTTGTGGGAGAGAGAGTTAAACGAGGTTGATCTAACAGTAAACTCTGATACTGCAGGATGCGAGCGTTTGACATGCATTTGCCAGAAGCACTTTGTAGCAATGTCTCTACAGCATGAGGAGCTGTAAGGGTTAAATTCTGGCCTAGAGTCAGTTTATTAGCCTCTTGGATTAAGTTTGCTGTTGCCACTACGGTTCGCAGACAACTTGGCTACCCGGAGGCCACAGAGTCTAGCCTCTTAGACAAGTAGGCTACTGGATGTCGCCATGCCCCTCTACTGTGGTGGTCACCGTGGGCTCCCAGGGTCCAAGTGAGAGGGAGCCCCCGCCCTGTCAATCATCAGATTCCTCTGCTGTGGGGAGGATGAGGACCTCTTTTTTCTGGTTTTTCCTCTGGCTTTAATGGGCATTCCTTCTTCCAGTGTCCTATCTGCTTACAATTAGCACACTGGTTTCTTTGCAGGGAACCCCGCTCACTTTTCTGGCCTTTCTGGTGTGGATCCGGGGTCCCCTGGCTAGTGCTTTGTAATGGGGGCCCTTCCTTTCTGGCTTCCTGGATGGCCGCCACTAAGATTTTCGCTTGTCTTTCGGATGCTTTGTCAGCAGCCCTTTCAGCTGCCTGAGCTACTTGTTTTTGCTTTTCAAACTCTCTATTGTCAAAAACTTTCTGGGCTACTTCTAAAAGCTGGCTAATGTTCATTCCAGCAAATGCCTCCAGCTTTTGTAATTTTCTTTTAATATCAGGAGGTGCCTGAGCCACAAACACCAAATTAATAGCACAGCTATTCTTGGGAGCTGCCGGATCAAAAGGGATGTAAGTTCGATAGGCCTAGAGGTGTTCTAAAAACACTTCAGGCGACTCATCGGGCCCCTGGACAACTTGAGTTGTCTTAAACAGATTCATGGGTTTTCGAGCAGCTCTCTTGATTCCCGCAAGGAGATACCGGTGAAAATCATCCAAAGCCCTCCTCCCACCAGAGGAGTTAGGATCCCAATTAGGCCAGGTGGAGGGAAAAACCTCCTCAAGGAGGTTTTGGGCTTCTCCCCTCCGGTCTACCAGCTGATGTAAGGAAATACTTTCTGGCTTCTCTTCAGATACGATCCCTCTCTTCAGAGGTGAAGAGGGTTAAAAGGAGTTGCTGACAATCATCACAGGTGGGCCGGTGAGTCCGGAGCATGGACTCCATCAGTGAGGTCAGAACCTGGGGCTTTTCAGAGAAGGGGGATTATGAGCCTTCCAGATGTACAGGTCAGAAGTAGGGAAGGGGACATAAACCAAGAATGGGGCTGAGCGCTCATCACCTGGAGGGATTTGTGCCTCTGTTAGCAGGAGGAGGGGGGCTACCTCCTCCTGCCACTGCCACAATCGGGAGGCTATAGGCGGAGAGCCCACAGGGGATGTAGTTGAGGAGACTAGGGAAGATTCTGAGGGAGCAGGAGGGTTACAAGGTGGCAGAACTGTGTGAGAAAAACTTTCCTCTTCTTCGGAGGGAGGCAATACAGGAGGAGCTGAGGGAGCTGAGGATCGGGACAAAAGGGTGGTCTGGATTAAAAGGACCTTGGAGGTGGGATCATGAACGGCACATGAGCGGAGCCAAGAGGGAGGGCTCCAGACCAAGCTCAGCCATTGATCAACATAGGGAAACTGATCGGGGTGACCAGGAGTTCCAGCAACAACCCACCATACAACCTGAACAGCTGTGAGGTTTAGTGACCCTTCTGGGGGCCACCCGGTTCCAAACTTTGGCCATTCTAATTCACAGAGTGTCCGGAGTTTGCCTTTTTTAAGGCGGACTCCATAATCATCTGAGAAGCCCAGAGATAAATTCTGTAACATACATTGGAGAGGGCTCCAATCTTTACGGGGCTGGGAAGAAGAATTTCCCATTCTGGAGACAATTAACAAGGTTTGAGCTGAATTGTTAAACCCAGCATGGACAGAGAAATTCACAGCCTTGGGGGGCTGTGTATTGGAAGAACAGAAATAGTATAACTAGAAGGAGTAGGAAGATGACTATAGCCAATGCTTCTTGCCACATACGGCCTGTCTCCTCAAGCTTTGAGATCTAGGGAGAGGACAAGAGGCGTATCCGAGGCCAGTGGGACTTATGTGATTTCCCCCTCCTTTTTAACTTACAGCCCAAATATTGTTGGTGTCTCCATGACTCGAAGGCAAAAAGTTCAAACTTGGCCATTTCTTGTAAGGGTTTGAGAAGAGAGGACATAAACCAAGTCCTGGATGCGCTGGGCCTGCTGCGACACAGGAAAACGAGATGTGCAGGGTAAGGGATGGGGATGAAGAGGAAAGGGGCCACTCGGATCATTCCTAAGGTAGGAGAGTAGCCACAGAGGAATAGAATAAGAGTCCAGACGGAGTAAAGCAGCACGGGCGTAGGTTTCTCTGCACAGTGCCTTATCCAAGGGCACGGGAAAAATTACGGGATGACAGAAAAGGTGAGCAAGGAGGTCAGCGGGGCGGCTATTTTGGATCCACCACTGGTCTACGGAGAAGGTGGACCCGTTGTTGGGGTGTGGGGTATGACAATCCAAATGCCAGCAACCTTTGTGGTGCCAGAAATCTCACATGGACGAATGTTTCCCACACCCCTCCCCATAACAACACCTGATTTGTTTCTAACAGAAAAGGCAGGACTGGGAAGGCCAGCCCAAACGACTGATGAGAAATTTGACCTCCTGTGTTAGAAAATCTGCACTCAGGACTTTGAAGAAGTCCTTGCCCAGTCGTCTTGGGCAATATTGACGACCTGACATATGAAACTTAGACACCAGAGAGGACAAGAGACACTGGGGTATATAAACAATTATGACAATTTTTATAGACAGACAAGGGGAGGGAGTCCTGTGACGGGATCAGTCAGATGCCCACCTGGCCGCTTCCCCAGAGGGGACTTAGGCTCCTCTTGGCATTGGCAGGCCGGTATAAACCCCCAGCTCAGACTGAGCTATGCCCGATGCTGCCTTAAGCCTTATGAGGTCGCCACAGAACCACAGGTGAGGGCCCACTCGAACTCCGTAACTTTCGTCGTAGGGCTACAAACTGGAAATTCAAGTGCAAGCCCTGGAACTCCACATTCACACACTCATTCACACAGAGTTTATTACAATTTTCTTATTCCCACTCCAAAACAGAGGTCTCCAGGAGAACTGAACGAGAGAAGAAGAGATAGAGAAAGAGTGACTAGTCTTACAGAGAGACCTGACAGAAACCAGGACTCTGTCCTCCAGCGTCCTGGAATATGGGATGCCCTGGTTCAAGGCTGCTTCCCTCCCAGAGAAACAGAATCAGACAGAAACCAGAAACCAGGACTCTGTCCTCTAGCGTCCTGGAATATGGACAGAGTCAGAGGGGTGCCCTCATCAGGGCCGCTGCCCTCCTAGAGAAACAGAGTCAGATCTGACTTACCTTCCTGGGACCAGAGACGGAGGACTCAGGAGTTGATTTTGGTGGGCACACACCGGCTGTTGATCCGTTCCCCTCCAGAAGACAGTGGCCTACAGGGCCCTGGAACATCTCAGGTGGTGCCTCCCCTATAAGCCCACCATCTGTCCGGGGGATCCCAGAGTGAGTCCGGCACTCACCCGGTGGTGAAATCTTGCTGGGGCCTCCAAATGTAACCGAGTGAGTTACCGAGAAACGCCACACTCTGAGACGAATTCAGGAGTCCTTTGTTAGCTGGTGACTGAGAGATGGCTAGCACTCAAAATTCTCTCGGCCCTGAAGAAGGGGCTAGATTTTCTTTTATGCTTTGGTATAGAAAGGGGAGCGGGGGAGTCTAGTTAAAACAGTCTTACAGAAGTAAAGCAGGCAAAAAGTTAAAAGGATAAATGGTTACAGGAAAGCAAACAGTTCCAGGTGCAGAGGCTTTAAATCTATCACAAGGTGATAGGCACGGGGCTTTGGGCGTTATCAACCGGACACAAACACGGACACAAACACAGGGGCTCTGGGCGCTACTAACTGGGCGAATTCCTGGGAACTGCCGATATAGCTTGCCACAGTATCTTATCAGTTAATTGCATTCTTGGATGTGCTGAGAGTCAGCTTGCACAAGTTAAGTCCTTGAGGAAGGGGAGTGGGTAGGGGGCTGCGAGTGAAGGAGCCAATATAGAGTCTGTCTGGCTCTCTTAGCTAAGGGAGAGTCAGTTCAGGTTAAAACAAGGTAGGGTACCACAAGTGAAGGAAGGATATTTTTTATAAGTGATTGGAGTAACTGCCTGTTACTTTGCTGCTCTTTCACTCCTTCTTTGCCTCCAACCCCTAACCCTTGACCCTTGACTGCCCACACCTCTGCTGACATCCTCTGGGTCCCTGATCTCTGGAGTGTGTCTCCCTTGTCAGCAAGGAACCTCCTTTATATCCCCAGGATCTGCTGCCTCAGAGGATTCTTGTAACAGAGCAGCTGGGGCCTTAGTGGCCCAGAGGTCAAGAAAATCCTACAGATAGGAATCTGCATTTCAGGAGGCCTCCAACAATTTCCAGTAGCGATGCCGTTGGAGTCACACTGAGAGACAGCCAAGCATTTCCAACATCTCCAGGGCTCCAGCCACTCTCCTCACATGATGTGTAAGCTGATGAGTGACAAACCTTTATCTCCAGCTCGGACATCTCCATCCCTACCTGGATGTTCCACAGGCCCCTCAAACATATCACGCCTCAAGCTGAATTTATCTTCTCTTCTAAAACCAGCAATTTGGCCGATATTCTCTATGTTGGTGGTACTACCCTCATTTTTCCATCATTTGAGCTAATAATATTGACTCTCCCCTCCCCTGCCTGCTATATACAACCAAACTCAAATATTTTCATCTATTAAACATGTCTTGAATCTTCCTGCCTTAGCCATCCCTCTGTAACTCTCCAGTTCATATCCTCATCTTCCCCTGCCTTCAAGAACCATCTCTTTAGTTCCTATCCTTCTGTTCCCAATATTCCCCCAACACTGTGCCCAAAATGATCAACCTAAAATGCAAATGGTATTTCACTGGGCCTTTAGTTAAAACCCCTCAGTGCCTTCTACTCCCCTGGGAGAAAGTTCTATTATAACTTCTTAGGATGCCCAAAGAGACCACCCCCAGGTCTGGCGCCTGCCTTCCTCTCCATCAGCAGCACCTGCCCCCTTTATGAGCCAGCAACACTGCACTGCTGGTCTCTCCCTACTCCTGGCTCTTTCTCATTTCTGTACCTTTGTTTACACAGCCCTTTCTGCCTGGGATGCTTCCTCACTTCCTTTTATCAGGCAAAGTATCATTCATCCATTCCCATGATGTGCTAGTGAAGTTTAACAACTAACTTTGCAGGTCAAAAAAGCCCTGATCTGTAGCACTTCCTGATTTCTGTGGTGTAAATACTCTCACTGCAGCTACCCATGAAGTTACCGAATGGGAATTGGGAGATGTGCTAGTTGATGGGCCAGTGCTCTAGCACACTGCAGGCCTTGAGATCACTTTTCTGGGAAGGTTAACCCCTGCCTCCCTCTGGGCTTTCACCGCAGCCTGGAAATTCACCTGCTCCCGTGCTGCCTTCCTGGCTCGGTAACTACAGATGACTCTCAAACAACACAGGTTTAAACTGTGTGGGTCCACTTAGAAGCAGATGTTTTCCAAAAGTATATTGGAAAAAATTTTTTGGAGATTTGCGACAACTTGAAAACACTCACAGACAAACTGTGTAGCCTAGAAATATCAAAAAAAAATTAAGAAAAAGTTAGGTATGTCATGAATGCATAAAGCACATGTACATGCTCATCTATTTTATCATCTATTGCCATAAAATATACACAAATCTATTATAAAAACTTAAAATTTATCAAAACTTATGCAAACAAACACAGATCATACATGGCACCATTCACAGTTGAGAGAAATATAAACAAATGTAAAGATGCAGTATCAAACCACAACTGCATAAAATTCACTATCGTATACACTGTGCAACTGTAATAATTTTATAGCCACCTCCTGCTGCTGTTGCAGTGAGCTTAGGTATTTCAAATGTCTGCTTAAAATGCTGTGTGATGCTAATCATCTCCAGGAGAGCAGTTCTTCTCTCCAGTAAATTGAGTGTCCCAGTAAAAAGTGATCTCTTGCAGCTCTTGGATACTTTTTATCACATATAGTGTGGTACTGTTAGAGGCGTGTGAATCAGAGCAACTCCATCTTGAGTAGGGGCTGGGTAAAATGAGGCTGAGACCCACTGGGCTGCATTCCCAGAAGATTAAGACATTCTAAGTCACAGGATGAGATAGGAGGTTGGCACAAGATACAGGTCATAAAAACCTTGCTGATAAAACAGGTTGCAGTAAAGAAGCTGAAGCCAGCCAAAACCCACCAAAACCAAGATGGCAATGAGAGTGATCTCTGGGCATCCTGACTGTTACACTCTCACCAGCGCCGTGACAGTTTACGAATGCCATGGCAATGTCAGGAAGTTATCCTATATGGTCTAAAAAGGGGAGGCATGAATAATCCACCCCTTGTTTAGCATATTGTCAAGAAATAACAATAAAAATAGGCAACCAGCAGCCCTTGGGGCTGTTCTGTCTGTGGAGTAGCCATTCTTTTATTTCTCTACTTTCTTAATAAACTTGCTTTCACTTTATGGACCCACCCTGAATTCTTTCTTGTGCAAGATCCAAGAACTCTCTCTTAGGGTCTGAATTGGGGCCCTCTTCCTGTAACAGTACAGTAAACCTTGAATAACACCATGGGACTCATACAAGGTGTCACTAGTGATGCTGGAAGTGCTCCCAAGAAGTAGAAAAATGTTATGACCTTCCCAAAAAAAAAAGTTGAATTGCTTGATATGTGCCATACATTGAGGTCTGCATCTGTGGCTGCCTGCCATTTCAAAATAAGTGAATGCAGTATAAGAACCACTGGGAAAAAAAAAAAGAAGAAGAAGAAGAAAGGAAGGAAGGAAGGAAAAAGAAGGAAGGAAGGAGAAGGGAAAGGAAGGGAAGGAAGGAAGAGAAAGAGAAAGAAAGGGAAATTCATGAAGCTGTTGCTCCAGCTATGCCAAGAGCCAAAACCCTACACTTTTTGCAAAATATCTTTTTATCTCATACCGAAAATGCAGCTTTTAAGTGGATGCAGGATTGCTATACAAAAGGCATATCTATAGAATGTAGTATGTTCAAGAAAAAAATGAAATCATTATATAACAACGTAAGGCAAATAGAAGGTGAAGGATCTAAAGCTGGAGAATTTTTTTTTTTTTTTTGAGACGGAGTCTCGCTGTGTCTCCCAGGCTGGAGTGCAGTGCCGTGATCTCGGCTCACTGCAAGCTCCGCCTCCTGGGTTCACGCCATTCTCCCGCCTCAGCCTCCCAAGTAGCTGGAACTACAGGCGCCCGCCACCACGCCCGGCTAGTTTTTTGTATTTTTAGTAGAGACGGGGTTTCACCATGTTAGCCAGGATAGTCTCGATCTCCTGACCTCGTGATCCACCCGCCTCGGCCTCCCAAAGTGTTGGGATTACAGGCTTGAGCCACCGCGCCCGGCCAAGCTGGAGAATTTAATGCCCAAAAAAGATGGTTTGCTAATTTTATTTATTTATTTATTTATTTAAAGAATCTCACTTTGTTGCCCAGGTTGGAGTGCAGTGGCTTGATCATAGCTCACCACCACCTTGAATTCCTGGGCTCAAAGGATCCTCCCACCTTAGCCTCCCTAGTATCTGGGACTACAAGCATGCACCACCACACTCAGCTGATTTTTTAAAATTTTTTTGTAGAGACGAGGTCTCACTAAATGCCCAGGCTGGTATCAAACTCCTGGGCTCAAGCAATCCTCCCAAATCAGCCTCCCAAAGCGCTGGAATTACAGGTGTGAACCACCGTGCCTGGCCGTTTGCTAAGTTTAGAAAGAGATTTGGCTTTAAAAAAATATATCAAGATAATAGTAAAAGCAGCTTCTGCAGACCAATAGGCAGCCGACGAGTTCCCAGACGCCATTAGGAAAATCAGTGAGGATCGCACCACTGCACTGCAGCCTGGGTAACAGAGCAAGACCCTGTCTCTAAAAGAAAGGAAAGAAAATCATTGAGGTGGGAAAAAAATGTTACATTTATTAGTAAGAAAGAGAAGTGAACACCAGGATTTAAGTCAGGAAGGAATAAGCTAACTCTACTGCCTTGTATAAATGCAGTCAGGTTTATGGTCAGGGCTGCCCTTATCTATAAAGCTGCTAGCCCCTAATCCTTGAAGGGAAGAGATAAACACAACAAGAAAGCCTGGACAATGAAGACCCTTCTTCTGGATTGGTTCTGTTTCTGTTTTGTCCCCGAAGTCATGAAGTTCCTTGCCACTAAGTGTCTGCCTTTTAAATTTCTTTTGATACTGGATGATGCCTCCGGCCACCCAGAATCCCACGAGTTCAACACTGAAGGCAATGAAGTGTCTACTCGTCCCGCCCGCCCCCACATCTCTAATTCAGCCTCTAGCTCCTGGGGTCATAAGGACCTGTAAGGCTCATTACACATGGTGCTCTATGAAAAGGATTGTCAACACTGTGGAAGAGAACCCCAATAGAGAGAACATCATAAAGGCACCATGGAAGATGTCATTGTTACTTCAGAAAAAGCTGTGAAGGCCATCAAGTCCAAAACAATTATTTCATGCTGGAAAAAAACTGTGTCCAGATGTGCATGACTTCACAGAGCCAATCAAGGATATCATGAAAGAGATTGCGATGATGGCAGAAGAAAGGCCAGGAGTGATAGGTTTTAATATATGGATCTTGGAGAAATTCAAGATCTAATAGACACCACATTGGAGAAATTAACAGAAGATGACTTGACGGGCATGAGTGCTTCAGAACCAGTGCCAGACAATGAGGAAGAAGACATAGAAGAAGCAGTGCCAGGAAATGAATTGTCATTAGACAATCGCACAGAAGGGCTCTGAGTATTCAAGGCTGCTGTTGACTTATTCTGTGATATGGGCCCTTCTCTGATAAAACTAAAACTAAAGCAAATGGTAGAAGAATTGGTACTGATAGAAACATTTTTAGAGAAATGAAAAAGCTAAAACATCAGACAGAAATTACCATGTATTTCTATAAAGTTACACTGAGTGTGC